CAACTGGAACCATGCTGAGGGCAACTGGGATCATACTGGGAGCAGCTGGGCTCGTACTGGGATCATCCTGGGACTGACAGGGATCATCCTAGGAGTGACTGCAATACTCCTGGGAGTATGTCAGAGGGACTGCAACCATACTGGGGATGACTGGGATCAAACTGGATTCATACTGGAAGTGCCTGGAAGTTACTGGGATCATACTGGGAGTGACTGGACTAATAGTGGGATCATACTGGGAGCAACTGGGACCATGCAGGGACAAATGGCATCGTCCAGGCAGTGACTGAAAGTGCCTGGGGCCAGACTGGACTCAGACTGGGAGTCCTTGAGAGGGAAAGGAACCATCTGGGGGGGCCTGGGAGCAACTGGGACCACCTTGGGGGCAACTGGGATCCTATTGGGAGTGACTGGGAGTGACTGGGATCCTAGTGGGAGTGACCAGGACCAATTACTGGAAGCATCCTGGGAGTGACTGTCAGTGACTGGGATCATACTGGGAGCGACTGGAACTACATAGAGGGGAACTGGGAACCAGTGGGCATGCAGGAAGGCAACTGGGGACACACTGGGAGAAACTGGGATCATCCTGGAAGAAAGTGGGAGTGACTAGGAGTGACAGGGTGCATGCTGGAGGGAACTGGCAGAGACTGGGAGTGACTGGGATCGTCCTGATTGGAACTGGAAACATCCTGGGGCAAGTGGAAGTAACTGGGTATGACTGTGAGCACGCTGATGTCAACTGGGATATACTGGGAGTGTCTGCAGCCATGGTGGGGGTGACTGGGACTACACTGGGAGTGACTTGGACCGTGTTGGGGTCAACTTGGAGCAACTGGGACCATGCTGGGGTAACTGCGATTGTACTGAGATCATACAGGGATCATACTGGGATCATAATGGGAGCAACTGGGTCTCTGCTAGGGGCAACTGGGAGCAACTGGGATCACACTGGGCGGAACTGGGAGCAACTGCGACCACACTGGGGATAACTGGGGTCATACTGGGATCCCACTACAAATTCCATACTGATCCCATCCTTCCATCCTTGTGCTTTGTTGCTGGTTAAAAGCAGGTTGAAAATACAATCATATCTATTATTGTTGTTACACAAAATATTGATCTAATATGATAATGTTAATTAAACTTTAACATATGTGTGCGGGTGTCTCCTTGCAGGGGGTTTGTGCAGGAGGAGGCTCTGGGGTGGCTCCTCCAGCCTCAGCCACTCCCCCCCAGGGCAGTGATGGTGAGGAGCAGCCCCGTGACAAGCCCGGTGTCCCCCATGGGCACCTTTTTGTCCTTGATGGGCCTGAGGCTGAAATGTGGGGACAAAGCCCATGGAAGGGGCACAAAGAGCAACTCAGAGCCCCAGCTCTTGTACCCCCCGGGTCCCTTCTCCAGCTCCCAGCACAGCCCCAGGCCCGTGGGGGGCTCCAGGCTCAGTTTGGGGGGGATCCCAGTGCTGTCAGTGACATCCAAGGATTTTTGGGGCTTCCTCCCCCCCGTGCCCCCTTCCAGCACGGGATGGGCACGCCCCCAGCCCCACAGCTTGCCAAGCCCTTTGGCCTTCCTTCCCTGCTCCTCCCCGGCAGGAACTGGCCTGTTGGAGGGGACTTGCAGCATTTGGGCTGGGCCAGGCTGTGCCAAGGAGCTGCTGCCAGGCCATGGAGGGTCGGGCTGAGGGGAGGAGGCCGGAGCCCCCAGGCTGTGGCACTGGGGAGGCCCTGGGGCGCCTCTCTGGGCTCTGGGGAATCCCCTTTGCCTTGACCCCGGGACCCCTGCGGGGGGCAGTGGGGGCTGCCCAGGGCGGGCACTGGCCCAGGGAGATCGCCCCCCGCCCCCGCGGCATCCGCTGATCGCGGCGCTTTCCCCGCTTTGACCCCAAAGCGGCGCCTTTAAGGCCGTGTTTAAGCGCAGGGCCCGCGAGTTCAGCTCGGCCCGGCCCGGGGGTCCCGCCGCTCGGGCCCGTCCAGGGGGCCCGGGGGTGGCGGGGGGACCCGGGGCGGTGCCAGGAGGGGTCCCGAAGGGGATCCCGGGGCATTCCCGGCAATTCCCCCGTGCTCCCTGGGGCACTTCCCCGTCTCCCGAACTGCGCCCAGTGGGGCCAGCGGAGCAGCGCGATGGCTCCAGCGCTGGGGCTGGGGGCGCTCCTGGGGGTCTCCGGGGGGCAGCCCGAGGGTAAGTGGGACCCCCGGAACGGGCAACTCCTCAGCCTTTATTGCCGGGCACCGGCACTTCCCTGAACCTCCATTTCCGGGTACTAGGACCCCCCTGCACCCTCTCCCTCAGCACCGGGACCCCCTGAATCCCGATTGCTGAGCACGGGAACCCCCTGAACCCCCATTCCCGGAAGGAGACCCCCCTGAACACCCATTCCTGGGCACCAGGACCCCCCGAACTTCCATTTCCGGGCACAGGGACCCCCCCTGCACCCTCTCCCTCCACTCCGGGGCCCCCTTAAACCTCCTTAGCCGGCACTGGGACCCCCCCCCCCCCCCCAGCTTCCATTCCTGGACACAGAGGCCCTCTGAACCCCCATTCCCGGGTATGGAACCCCCCTCAACCTCCATTCCCCGGCACAGGGACCCCTCTGGAGCCCCATTTCTGAGTACTGGGACCCCCCTGAACCCCCACTCTTGGGCACAGGAACCCCCCTGGACCCCCATCCCCGGCACCAGGACCCCTCTGAACCCCGTTCTCCTCAACAAATTGCCCCCTGTGGCCCTTTTCCTGCCAATCCCGCCTCTCCCAGCGCCCTGATCCTCCCTTTTTCTTGACCCTGGGACCCCCTAGACCCCTATTCCCAGCCCCCAGCCCCGACTTTCCTCAACAGTGGGGACCACTGGGCACAGGGCCCCCCTGGATCTCCTATCCTGCCTCTCCCAGTGCCAGCCCCCCCTTTCCTTGAACCTTGGACCCTTCCTGGTTCTCCCAGCTCTCTCCCAGTTCCAGTTCCTTGACCCTTGGACCCCCCAAACCCTCCAATCTCTGTGACCCCCCCAGTTCTCCACTCCCTGTGCTTCCTGCAGGGGGGTCGCAGGCACTGGGAACGCCCTCGACCGCAATTCCTGGGCACTGGGACCCCCGTGAACTTCCATTCCTGGGCACTGGAATGCCCTGAACTTCCATTTTCTGGCACTAGGACTCCTCTGCACCCCCTCCCCCAGCAGCTGGTCTTCCCTAAATGCTCTTATCCAGCACTGGGACCCCCTGAACCCCATTTCTGGGAAGAGAACCCCCCTGAAAATCCATTCTGGGCACAGGGATCCCCCTGAACCTCCATTTCCAGGCACAGGGATCCCCCTGCACCCCCTGATCCAGCACTGGAACCCCCCAGGACCCCTATTCCTTGGCACTGAGACACCCCTGAACTCCATCCCTGGCTCCAGGACCCAGTTGAACCCCCTTATCCTGCACCAACACCCCCCTGCACCCCCTTTCCCGGCCATCCCAACTCTCCCAGACCCCAGACCCTCATTTGCCTTGACTCTGGAACCCCCTGGGCCCCCATTCCTGCCTTTTCCAGACCTCAGACCCCATTTTCCTCAACACTGGGGTCTCCCGGCCCCCCCTTTGCTGGGTACAGGGACCCCTGGATGCCCCATTGCACTTTTCCCAGTCCCTACACCCTCCTTTCCTTAGCCCTGAGATCCCCAAATACCCTTCCCGGCTCTCCCAGCTCTCCCAGTTCTCCCTTTGCTTGACCTATGGACGCCCCCAGATCCCCCAAATCTCCGTGTCCCCCCAGTTCTCCACTCCCTGCATTACTTGCACGTGGCGGCGATGGAGCCCAGCCAGGGGATCCCTCAATTCATGATCATGGGATACATGGATGGGATCCCCATCATGTGCTACAATAGCGAGCGGGGCCGGGCGGAGCCGCAGATGCCGTGGATGGCGGCCGGAGCTGAGCCAGGATACTGGGATGAACTGACCCAGGTTGCTGAGGAGAACCGGCTCATTGATGCCGCCAACCTGGAGAGAGCAGGGGACCGGTACAACTGGAGTGGGGGTGAGTGGGGAGAGCTGGGGAGTAGGGGGATATGTGAGGCTGGGATGGGGTATGTGGGGCTGGGACGGGATGTGTGCGGCTGGGGTGTGGATCCAAGGTGCTCCAAGGGCTGGGATGAGGCTCTGTGGGTCTCCATTGGACTCTGGGGCTCCATAGGGCTGGGATTGGGCTCCATGGGGCTGGGACACAATTCCAGGGGTCTCTGTGGGTCTGATCCCACCCCCCAGGTCTCCACATGCTGCAGTGGGTTTATGGCTGTGACCTCCTGTGGTGGGGGGAAACAGTTTTCCCCCTGCAGTTATAAAATGGTAAAACCCCAGGGGGTGGTGACCCTTGAAGTTTTGAGGTTTTACCCAATGAGTGCTTCTGCAAAAGATAAACATATCACAAGCAGAACGGAAGAGAAGGTAGTTGTAGTTTTGTTGTAGAAGAAGTGGCCATGTTGTGAAAGCCACGAGGAAGGGGCTCGGAGCCCCCTGGGGCCTCTGGGCCCCCCCAGCCCCTGGCTGGGGGTGGGGCTACAGGGACTTGGAACAGCGTAAGGCTGAGCTAAGTACCTGTGGCTGACAGCTGAAGGAGTTTCTCTACTGTAAGAAGCAGCAGGAGCAACAGCAGGACTGCACTGATCGAAGAAACAGTGGCATAGAGCCAGAAGAGATAAGACCACGCAGCAACAACAGGCAGGCAGCAACACAGAGAGAATTCCTGGAAGGAGAGAGAGAAAGAGAACAAGAGCCGGCAGCAGCAGAGAGAGCAGAGTTAAGCTCTACAGAGAGAAAGTTGGGGTAAGAACTGAACCAGAAGACCCCAAACTCCTTGGAGACCCCTCCTAGAAGGGGGGTGAAGTGCAACATGCACTGCAGAGAAGAGCTGAAAAGCTGAGGCATCCTGGAAAGCTGGACTGAGACAATTAAAAGAATGTGGAGGGGGTGACCTTGGTTCCCCCTACTGCTGCCAAGCTGGCAGTTTTGAGACAGAGCACAGGAGCTCTGATAGAACTCTTGAGGCAAAAGCCTTCAACTGAAAGCTGCCCGAGATGTTCTGACTCAGGGGTGAATCCCCTGAGGAAGGGACCTTCATGGGAGTCTTATGCCCCATGATATGACGTGGTGACGTGAGTTTTGTCCCTGCTACACAGTCCACGGAAGAGAAGACCCTCACTTGAAGACAAGTGGCCGAGGGGCTTGGATACCCCCTCGTGTATACTGGCAGAGATCCAGCTACAGCTGCTGCATGGAAGAGAAAAGAAGAGGATAGACCTGCTGCCTTAGAGACATTGCTGCTCTGAAAGTAGAAAGGGATCTTTTCCTTCTTTCGTCCTGGACTTCCCCCCTGGAAGCAGGGGACAATTTCTGAGTGCTGGCCCTCAGTGGGACCCATTAACGCCATGAGAAACTGTGGACTTGGATCTGACTTGGAATTCTTCAGAGGTTTCTGTAACTTGTCTTTGTCTGATGTTCAGGGACTCCGCACCAACACCCCTTAGGGTCATTCAATGCTTGGGGCTGTTGCTGTGCTGCTGAGCTGGGCCAGGCTCCTGGCTGAGTTGAACAAAGTTCCCGAAGAAATCAAAAGTATTTGGAGGAGATTGTAAAGCAGCAGAGGATTGACTCAAGGCAGCCCTGCCCTGTGTTGCCTCTCCTGTCCCCTCCCCAGCTCTCTCATCTCTGCTGAGCAGGCAGGAACAGGCTCCCCCCAGACACTGCCCAACCCTGGGGGGACAGCTCAGTGCTGGGAGGGCAGCCCTGGATGGCAACAGCTCCTCAGGGAGGCAGGCAAGAAGGGCAGGAGCTGGCCAGGAGCTCTGGGCAAAGGGCAGGCTGGGCTGCACAGAGCCTTGCCTTGGAGGAAGCCTCGTACTCCCAGGGCTCCAAGAACACAGGGATTGCCACCCCACACTCTGCTGGGAGGGCAGCAGGGCTGGGCACAGAGCAACCCAGGGGGGTCCTGGAGAGGGCTGGGGACAACATTTCCACACAGATGGTGCAGGGGCTGACTAAGACTCCTTTCTTACAGACAAGGGGGAAGTGCAACAGCCACTGCATGTGGGCAAAGGAATTCATCTGAGTCATTCTGAGTGGACATTTTTGGCCTTCTTGGCAAAGCCACCATGAAGGAGCAGAGTTTAAAATCTCTCTTTACAGGAGGCAAACAGCCAAGGAAACTTCAACCCCGGGCATGAGGAGAGCAGCTTCAGGCTGCTCAGGGAACTGGTGGGAAACATCCCCAGGGAAACCCTTTGCAGGTGCTGGGGTCCATCAGGGCTGGTCACTTTTTAAGCACCACCTCCTGCGGGCACAGGAGCAGTAATTCCTAAATGGCAGAAGTCAAGCAGGAGAGGCAGAATATTGGTTTGGCTGAGCAGGGATCTTCTCTTGGAGCTAAGGAAGAAAAAGAAGGTGTGTGCCCAGTGGAAGCAAGGTCAGGTGACATGGGAGGACTTCAGAGATGCTGCTCAACACTGAGGGACAAAATTCTTGTGGACAAAGGTCAGCTGCAGTTGGAGCTGGACAGGACTCTGGGGGACAGTACAAGAGTGGGGTTTAAGTTGGTCAATAGCAAAAGGCAGAGCAGAAATAACATTGGCCAGTAATGGATGAGGATGATCCCCTCACAGACAGGCACAGACAGACAGACAGAGATGTGTAAGGCTTTCTTTGCTTTGGTCCTCACACCAGCAATGGGCTCTGGAGGTGGCAGAGCCCTGAACTGCAGGACTATGACTGTGAGAATTATAAACTCTCAACCAGGCCTGAACTAGTCTGGGATCTGATGCTTCATCTGCACATCCTGATAAGTCTATGGAACATGACTGGATTCATCCAAGAACATTCAAA